TGAGAATTATATGTATCCCCGACAGAGAAGAAAAAGCAAAAAGTATGGAAACCTTCCCTGGTCATGCTGGAGATTTATACATCCAGATTCAAGAAGGTCATCAAACTCCTGGAAGATTCATTGCAAATAGGTTATCACCAAACCACACAGACTGTGCAAAGTCAAAGTGAAGGGGAAAATCCTACAAGCTACGAGACAAAAGCATCAAGTAACTTACAAAGGAAAACCCATCAGAGTAACAACAGAATTCTCAGCAGAAACTAACCAAGCCAGAGGGACTGCAGTCCTATCTTTAGTATTTTTAAACAAAACAACTGTCAGCCAAAATTTTGTATCTTACAAAACTAAGCTTCGTAATTGAAGGAGAAATAAATTTGTTCCCAGACAAGCAAACACTAAAGGAATTTGTCACCACTAGACCTGTCCTCCAAGAAATGCTCAGACATGCTCTAAACATTGAACACTCTCCAAAGTAAAAACACTCAAAAGTAAAAATTCACTGCTCTTATAAAACTGTAACACAAGGGAGAACATAAAGCCACTAGGTAACCATCAACAGGATGACTAGAATGGTATCTCACATGCGAATATTAACATTGGATATAAATGGTCTAAATGCCCATTAGAAGATATAGATTAGTGGAATGGATAAAAAACCACAACCAAAATATCTGCTGTCTCCAAGAAACCCATTTAACTGGTAAGGATTCACATAGATTCAAGGCAAAGGCAGGAGTAAAAACATTCTACAAAAATGGAAACCAAAGTAAGCAGAAGTAACTATTTCTATATCAGATAAGACAGACTTTAAATCAACAACAGTAAAAAAAGACAAAAATGGTCATTATATAATGATAAAGGGACCAATTCAGCCACTGCTGAAAGATTGAATGCCTTTCCTTTAGAATGAGGAAAAGACAAGAATGTCTACTTTCACACTCTTATTCAAAATACTATTTAAGTTCTAATAAGTGGGAAAAGGCAAGAAAAAAGGAGTACAGTCATCCCTTAGTATTGTTGAGATTTTGGTTCAAAGACCTCCCATGAATATCAAAATCCTCAGATTCTCAAGTCCCACAGTCAGCCCTGAGGAATCTTTGGCTACAAAAAGTTGTATTCATGGGTTCTCCATCCCACAAATACTATATTTTCCACCTGCATTTGTTGCATCCATAGATGCTGAAACCTTGGATATGGGAGGGCTGACTGTATAATGCATATATATGAAAAAGGAAGAAATAAAACTTTTCACATTTGCAGACATTCTGATGTTGAAAATCCTAAGGAATCTACAAAAATACCTCCTAGAATAAGTGTTTCAACAAAGTAAGTCATAGGATTCAAGATAAACATATACAAATCATTTATATTTCTGTATTAGCAATAAGTGGACACAGAAATTAAAAATACAATAGCATTACCATCTCTAAAAAAATGAAATACATGAAAATGTAACAAAACATGGACAGTATTGTTTTTGCTGAAAACTATAAAGTACTGGTAAAAGAAATGAAAGATCTAAATATATGGACAGACATACCACATTCATGGATTTCAAGATCAACATAGTAAATATGTCAATTCCCCTTAATTGATATATGGGTTTAGTACAAAACCTATCAAAATCCAAGGAAAATTTTTGTTTAAACAAGATTATTCTAAAATGTACATAAACAGGCAAAACACTAGAATAGCTACAAAAATTTTAAAGCATAAGATTGAAGTAGGAGGAATGATTTTACCCAATTTCAAGACTAATATAGCTACAGTTACAAAGACTATATGGGGTTGGCAGGAAGAGAGACACATAAATCAATGGAACAGAAGATACTGCCCAGAAAGAAGTGTACACACATATGTCCAACTGATTTGTTATAAAGGTACAAAAGCAATTTCAATGAAGAAAGATAGCTCTTTTAACAAATGGTTCTCAAAACAATTAGACATCCCTAAGCAAAAATATAACCTCTACCCAAACCTCACACCTTATACAAAAATTAACTCAAATGGATCACAGATTTACACGTAAAACATAAAACTATAAAACTTTTAGAAAAAAATCATCAGAGATGATTTGGAAATCTAGGTCTAAGCAAAAAGTTCTTAGACATGACAAAAGCAATAGTCATCAAAGCAAAAAATTATTTTTGCTCAAAATTAAAAACTTTTGCTCTTTGAAAGAACCTATTAAGAGAATGAAAAACAAGCTAAAGACTGGGAGAAAATATTCAAAGACCACAAAGTACTAGTATATAGGATATATAAAGAACTCTTAAAACTAAACTATTAAAATTAGAAAATTTGTTAAGAATATAAAGGGACATTTCATTGAATATTACTTATGAATAGCAAATAAGCATATAAAATGAGATTTAATATTATTAGCTTTCAGGGAAATACAAATTAAAACCACAGTAAGATTGTTGCTATATATCATCAGAATGGTTACAATACAGTGACTACCAAATTCTGACAAGGATACAGAGAAAATGAATCATTTATTCACTGCTGGTGAGAATATAAAATTTTACAACCACTTTTAAAAAGACTTTGGCAGTTTCTTAAAAAACTAAACATTCAACTGTCATATAACCAAGTAATTGCACTCCTGGGCATTTATCCCAGATAAATGAAAACTTATGCTCCATAAAAACCTATACAGGAGTATTCATATGGCTTTGTGGATATAAATAACCCAGATGTCATTCAATGGGTGAATGGGTAAACAAACTCTAGCACATCCATACCACAGAGTATAACTCAGAAAAATAAATAAACTACTAATTGATATACACAACTTAGATGAATCTACAGAAAATTATGCTGGGTAAAAAAAGACAATTCCAAAAGGTCAAATACCATATCCTTTCATTTATATAACATTCTTGAAATGACTAATAAACATGGAGAACAGGCTAGAGGTGACTAGGAGTTAAGGAGATCCTGAGAGCAAAAGTGAAGTGGTTATGGTTATAAAATGGTAACACAGGGAATTCTTTAGTAATGGAACTGTTCTGTAACTTCACTGCATTAATGTCAATATTCTGATTAGGATGCTGTAGTATAGTTATTGCAAGGTGTTACATTAGTAGGAAATTTTGTCAACAGCTCACAAGAACTCTCTGTGTTATTTCTTAACATCTATACATGATTCTACAATCATCTCAAAATTAAGATTAAAAAAACCAGAAACCTATCCATTTTTATGCTGACATAACTGGCCAAATTAGTGAATCCACTAAGCTACTTCTCTAATTTTATTACTAAAAATATTGAAAGAGGAAACTTTCTTGTAAATATGTAAACAACAACAAAAATCATGGAGTCAAAATACCCATTGGCATTTGTACCTTACTAATTTGACAGGATCTGATGCGTGACTTCTACTATACTAAGGGTGCTTATTTGCTGTTGTTTTCACTTTAGAATATTTTAAATGTATATTTTGAATAAATAACACAATAATATGGTTTTAAAGGACACAGAGTGAAAAATATCTTCCTGCCCTTCTTCCCAGCACATACAGTACCATCTCTAGCTTGCTATAAGTAAACAAAGTCTTCCAAAGATTTTTTATGTACATTCAAGTTAATATATATATATATACTGTATATATATTCAAGTTAATGTGTTTTCTCCCCACCCCCTACCTGCCTTTATTTACACAACTATTACTATATACATAATTCTATATCTCAGTTTTTCACTCAAAAATTTTTTCAGTAACCTTTTATCTCAATACAATAGCTTAATTTTTTTTAGATAACTGTATGGTATTCATTGGTGTAAGTGCACCATATATTTAGATCTGATTCTGATAATTTGCTACTACAACATTCCAACAATTTACTCTGTATATCTTGCATTTCCATATCTGTAGAATAAATCACTAGAAGTGGAATTGCTTGATCAAAGAGTATGTGCTTTCATAATTTTGACAAATACTGCCAAATGACCCTTTATAAAAACTGTGTCAATCTGCACTACTACAAGCAATATGGATTGCCTGTTTCCTTCTGCCCTCTTCAATACAATAAGTGATCTCTGATCTCTGCCAATCTGCTGGGTGAAAAAGCTCCCAGAGTAAACATTCTATTTAAAGACAACAATCAATTAATCTTATCTGAAAAAATACCTTAGCACATTAATTATAAGGAAATTATGTGATCTTCCAGGCTGAAAACAGTCCTATCCTATATCAAGAGATATCATGCATTTAAACTTATCCTATATCCCAGTTTATCCTTAGGGCTTCTTATTCACAGCAAAAAAGATGATAATTATTGGTCAAAGTTAATATTTAAGCAGATAAATATATCAAAAAAGTATTTACTAAAGACTGCCAGAAGAGTAGTACTATAAGCAAATTGGAAATAAATCTGAAAATTGCTGCCATGTAACCGTGAATGTTTTTCATGTATCAGACTATGTCTGTGGACTTTTGTTAATAATGCCATCTGCTCAGAAGCCATTTCAAAATCTACTTTGCATATGAATATATTAATATATCCAATCATGCATAGGGACGTGGTAATAAAGAATTAACATACTCTCTACAAGAAGTTGAGAGAGAAATTAAGAAGTGAAAGCAAAGTTTATGTGAGATTTTGATAGCCACAAAGGTCTCCTTCAGGTCTGCCATTCTAAGTCAATGGTTCTTGTGATTGCCTGAATGAAAACCCCAGAGTTAAAAGGAATGTAAATTTCTTACTTATTCACATATAAAGTTTATTTTATCACAGGAGAAGTATATTGTCTAACATGCACACAGTACAATTTGAACTGTGATCATTAGGTAAAGTAATGATTATAAATATGGAGTTTAGGTTTTAGTAACTATTCTGGCTTATTTTAAATGTTTCAATAATTGACAAGTAAGGCATCTCATCTGATTATTGGTATCCCGAATACCTAAGTTATCCAATTTTTAAATTCTTTACTATTTCTTATTCATTAATGACAGAGTACTTATCTCCTAAACCAGAAACATATATAAATACCTTTCTTAGTTCCATTAAAATACTTCATCTTGAGTTAGACTGGAATTATAAAATAATATTGAATCAAGTACATGATGTACAATCAGAAAAAGAAAAACTTATCAACAAACAGTAAAATATTACTCTTTCAAAATTCTAATTTCTGTCCGAGAAAAGAACGCATAGAAAGTTTTCTTCAGTAAAAAAAATTGGTCAATGAATTTAACTTGAAATTGAATTTGTTGGTATAATATAGTTTACTCCAACAAATGTACATGGAAAAGCCAACACACAAAAATAAAATCGTCTGATTCTATGGTCAAAATACCTCGAATTTAATAGGAGAGAAATACACTGTTCAAAGAAAATTCAGCCCATCATCAAGTATTATGTACAAGTTAGGTCGAGTCCTAGGCGCCTGAGACATAAGTAGGTCTGTATTTCAGGACTGTTCTCGCAGAAACGCGGCTGGGTGGGGCGGAGAGCTTCGTGGGGCTGCGTCTGCAGAGAATAATCCCCCACAGCAAACATCTCGTGCCCGGCATCCCGGAAAAGCAAGCTGGCACTGACAGGTATAAAATCGCTTTTGCAGAAGGGGCGATGAGGAGCCCACATGAAGCACACAGAGCAGACCCCCTTCATTCCTCCCGTACTGCTTAGGGTAGTGAACCGCCAAGATGGTGCAGTCTAAGATCGGGTCTACCTTTAAGACCTGGCGGGGAAAACGGCCGGACCAGAAGAAACGGTCGCAGTCTCATTTGCATAAGCACCCAAACACTGCCGACGTCACCGCGCCCGAGTCCGGACCCCGCCCCGTCTTACTCCAGCCCTTCCCCGCGAGCGAGGAGGGTGGAAAGGGAAAGCGGGACGCTGGAGAGCTGGCACCTGGGGGCTTCGCCCTCCTAGAACGCACGTCAGGCGCCGCTTCTTGGCTCAGTGGGAAAGAACTCCCGCCACTGAGGCCTCTGCCACTGGGTGGGTCTCGCGTACTCCCGGGACGCGTCGGGCGTTTTGATTCATTCATATGCACAACAAGGCTGGTGCGCAGGTTGAGACTGAAAGCCTTTGCCTGTGCTCAAAACCGCCTTCTGTCCCGCCACGCACAGACCAGCCAAGCGAATGGAAGGTAGAAACCACCTAAGTGTCCAACTGCTTCCCATCCTCTCCTTAAAGCCCCAGCATCACCGCCCTCGCCGTCCCACTCTCACAGTCCAGGATGGGCAGAGACACGCAAGCCGCGATTTCTCCAGCAGCCACGTGCCTGGTGCGCGGCGAAAGGCCCACTTTCGGACCCTTTATCACAGGATGCCTGCCCCAAGCAAAAAGGGAATGGTGGTCACGTGAAGACACTCTGCCTTCCGTGGTCGCCTTCTGCAGTTGCAAAAGCAACCAGAAGCGAATGAGGAATGAGGCTCGCTGCTCTCCCCGCCCCACCGCCCACCTGCACGAGGCTCGGCTTCCAATCACCTCGAAAGCGCCTGTTTCCACCCTGACCCTCCCAACTTTCCTCTCGGACTTCCCGGGCGTCGGACCCCACCCTACAACCTCGACTTGACTTGGAAATGAGTAGGTCTCTGGGGATGCCGTGGGTAATTTCCACGACGGGAAGGAAGGGAGGATGGCGGCACGTTTCGACCCATGTGCTTCCTCCTAGATGTGCAGCCTCTGCACCCCCCCGCCCCCGATTGTGCACGGATGCAGAACGCGGAGACTAGAGGGTCGCTCGCCGAGCCCAGCTTCTCCCTCCCAGGGCTTTTGAGCCATTCTCCCTCCATCCGCCCCAGGACGGAGCACGGGATCCATCCGTCAATTCGTTCCCAGTCTGGGTCCCCGGGATCCCAGGTGGCTAATGGCGAGCCCCACCTCGCCCCGAGCCGTGCCTTTAGCGTAGGAGCTTGTCATTACCGTGAGTGTGTCTTGACCCAGAGCCTCTCGCTGCTTCCACGTCCTGGCTGCAGCAGTCGCGAAAGGGTCCAGGTGGCTGTGGCCGAGGCCCCAAAGGAGCTATCTGGAGAGAAGCAGCTGCTTGCCAAGGGCGGGCCCCGGGGCTGGGTTTAGGAGGTCGCTGCCCTGCAGCCTGGCACGGAGAGACTAGTGAGCGCCTGTGTGTCTGCCAGGGGAGCAGCACGGGATGCGGGCGCGCGGGTGCGCGGGTGCGCGCGCATGTGTGAGTGTGTGTGAGTGAGGGTGTGACGGAGGCGCCCACGTGCCTGGCCCGCCCGCGCCGCGGCCGCCGCCGAGCTGCGAGGGAGGAGAGGTTGTGGGCGGCGGCGGGGCGCGGAGGAGGGAGCAGGGTGCGCGGGCTGGGCACCGCACCTCCCCGCCCCACACCCCTTGACGCAGAGGCCGCTGCGGCTGCCCCGCCGCGTCCTCCCCGCGCCCGGGGCTGGGCCGGGGAAATGCTGGATGGACCTGGGGAAGCCCGCTCCAAAGCAAAACAAAATAAATTCCCCCTGCCACCCGATCTTCCCCCAGCGCACTCAGTGGGAAGGATGGGCACCAGTTGGCGGCCCAGCCTTTGTCTCAGAGAGAGTAACAATAGGAATGGTCCTACCTCGCGTCCTCGCGTATTCTCCAAGAGTCAGGAACGGGACTAGAAGTGGGTGACTCAAAGAACCCTTTCCCCCAGCGTCCTCTCCCAAGCCAGCCATTTACATCCCTTGCAAAAGAAAAGCCTCCGGGCTTTGGCTTCTTCAGGCGGTGGCCTGATAGTGCTCGGTGATTCTGGCCAGGTTATGAAAGACGGTTTTAGGGAGCTGGTCCTCCCCCACCCTATGTGGATCCCTCAGCATCCCACTCTTCTCCACCGGGTCACTTTACGAGATGAAGCCTGACTGACTTCTGGCAATTAAGGCGTGCGCATAATTGAGCCACGTGGAGAATTCCTAAAATATACATCGCTAAACACAAAGCTTAGCCTCCTTTTGAAAATGGCTGAATTGTCCCCTCAACAGGACTATACTCTAGGAATTAAATTTCCCGTCCTTGAAACTTTCAAAATTTGAAAGAAATGCGAAATGATCCTAGAACATATTACAGCAGAAAGGTGAAGTGCATTTTTCACTTCCAAATGATTAATTTATATTACCATTTGAAAAATACAAGCACTTTGAGGCCTTCCAACAATCCCTTAGATTTTTGACAGTTTGTATCCAATTAAGATTGAATTAAATAATAAGGCCATTGCAGACAGGTTTCACAGGCAGTGAAAAATCTCCTGGAAAGAAATCACAAGACCTAAACTTCAGGTCAGAACATTGCTACTAATCCTTAGCTTTTAAAGCAGCCAAGAAAGATTTTTTTTTTTTTTTTTTTTGCCCAGCCTCTCTTCCAATCTTATCTTTAAAAATTTAAAAGTTGAAAAAAAATTAAAAGTCGAAAAAATAAATTATGATGCCCCCCCCACAGGTAAATAAATGCTCTTTGATGTACCACAGGAAAAAGTAAAAACAGTTACAATAAACTTCTTACAGAATATCTTACATAATTTGCTTTGTACTTCACTTTTGGGACAGGCAAATATTTATGTTGAGATATATATATATATATCTCAACATAAATATATATAGAAACTGCAATACAGCACATATATTACCAATAATTTAAGAACATAAGTACAGCTATGTATCTCCTCCACAGTCAGGATTAGACTTATCTGTAGGAAACAAAGTTATCTGTACACTTGCAGGAATAGTTTACAGTAGTACCAAGAAGTATTAATATGAAAGGCATTTCCCTTTTACACTTTTTCACTAATATCTGACCCCTATCTCAAATGCATACCCACAGCTGCAATTCTCAAAATATTTGTAGAGTGATGCCCTCAATAATGACTGATACTAATTTATGTCTTGATGCCTACGGACTGAAGTAGGTGAAAGCAACTATTGTATTAAGCTTCCCACTAAGTACCTGGGGTTTTATAATATCTTATTTAATCTTCTTGGCTAATTAATGAGGTGAATTTTTCCTAATTTAGAGATTAGGGAGAGGTGATTCTCAGGGAAAAAAATTGTAAAAAAATCACACTGCTATTTCAATGACAGAATGGAGAATTAAACTCAGATCTGCTGGCCTGAGTTCATGATTTTTCATAATATCTTGTAAGCCTTTAAAGAATGTATAGATTTTTAACAGGAGGACAGGGTAGAATATCAATACAAGGACTTGGCAACTTTGAAAACAATAAGTGGAGAGGGACAAGAAAGACCCAAAACAGAGTGGCTGGGAACTCCAGTCATGGTGAATTGTATCCATTTTTAAATTTAAACAACGAGTCTTCAACGATTTAAATTTCAACTGCTAATATCCTTTAGGTTAGTGATTATGGAGTGCTTTGTCTGTCACAGTGTCAAAAAATGACCACATGGTATTGGTATAGAAGAAGGAGGTAGCACACCAAAGGGAAAAAACAGAACTTGGAAGAATATTTCAGCTCACAAGGGAGACTAGTCTTTCTGGCCACACTATATTTATTAATATTAGCAAGTATTGATTTGATGTTAATTATGTATATTTGCAGTGTGCACAATAATTTATATATTGTATATTTCTTAATCCTTATACCAACCCTATAAAATAGGTCTAGTTTATTGCCATACATTGCAGAAGAAAAAACTGAGACTTCGATTGTCCAAGATCACACAATCAGGAGGCATCTGTTAGATATTGTTTTTAAAAAATGGCTCCCATTTAAATCATTTTTTGAATTTGATCTCAACTTTTAAGTAATTATTATTACATTTATCAGTTGAAAAAAATCTGATAAAAGAGATGAAGGAGAGAAGTGAGTATTCTCTTGGACTGGAGGTTATGATGAATCTGATTCATCAGGCCTTTTTACCCTAGTATTTCTTAAAAGAATCTCTTAGAATAACAATATTTTGTAAAACTCCAGAAGATATAGCATCAGAGTTCAGAAAAATAATTCAAATATTTACCACAAATATTTGAGATTTAAAACCACAATACTAAAGGAAAACATTTAAATCAATGCACATCATGAGATTATGACATTAATTCATTTTACTATTGCTATATATTCAGCACAATTTATAATGGGGATTCTTTTTTGCATTATAATTGAAGTTTTATTATAGTGTCCTCCATACCAGATGTTATTTGAAATATGGTCTCAAAATGTTTATGAAACTAAAACTTGCACAATCCCAAAATACCTATTGAATGTTCGGTTCTGTATCCTACTGATAAAGGGCTTAGAGATAGATGCAGGACAAATAACTAATTTCCTGTTTCTCTATGGGTAGAGAATGGGTTAACTGAATTGACAATATCAAAGCAATCAAATGAGTTTTTTAACTAATTGGCCAAGATAGTAAAGCATTCAAGACAATGTAGGAAATGATTGAATTTTGCTAACATGTCTGCACTTTGTAGATAAAGCCTAAATGACTCTGGCAAGTAAAAATACCAACAGAAGACATCATTTTGTTGACACAGAAATACATCCCCTGCCTCTGAGTACTGATCATAGTCATTAAATTTCTAAGTTACCCTTTAATTACAAACTTCCCTTCTATAATAGCAGATTACATTTC